GGGTCTCAGAGTTGGGTTTCTTTGGACGGTTTCTTGTGGTCGAGCTCCTATTGTACTTTCCTTTGCAGCCGACAAGCTCCATCATCCGGCTTCCCTCGTGCCGCAAATTTGCGACCACTGGCAGTCCCCAACACTGCGGGTCCAGTTGCCGTTAGGGTATCGGGCTCCCTACCGCTGGGGTTCCCTTGGCTGCGCACGGCCTTCGCACTCAGAGCTCCACCCGGGCGTTCCAGAAAGCAGACCTGCAGGGGTAGGGTTCACGTGCGGTTGCCCATCCTCTTCCTTCTCCTCCTCCTCCTCCCATTCCTCCTCCTCCTCCTCCTCCTCCTCCCTCCTTCCTCCTCCTCCTCCTTCTCTTCCTCCTCCTCCTCCTCCTCCTCCTCCTCCTCCTCCTCCTCCGTCTCCTCCTCCTCCTCCTCCTCCTCCCCTCCTCCTCCTCCTCCTCTCCTCCTCCTCTCCTCCTCCTCCCTCCTCCTCCCTCCTCCTCCTCCTCGCCTCCTCGTCCTCCTCCTCCTCCTCCTCCTCCTCCTCCTTCTCCTCCGTCTTCCTCATCCCTCTGTCTCTCTCCATCCTCCTCCTCCTCCCTCCTCCCCTCTCTCCTCCCCTCCTCCCTCCTCCTCTCCTCCTCCTCCCTCCTCCCTCCTCCTCCTTCCCCTCCTCCTCAGCTCTGCTCCTGCTCCTCCTCCTCCTCCCTCCGCCCTCCTCCCTCCGCCCTCTCCCTCCTTCCTTTCCCCTCCCCTCCCTCCCTCCTCCCTCCCTCCCTCCTCTCTCCTCCTCCTCCTCCTCCTCCTCTCCTCCTCCTCTCTTCCTCCTCCCTCCTCCTCCTCCTCCTCCCTCCTCCTCCTCCTCCCTGCTCCTCCTCCTGCTCCTCCTCCCTCCTCCTCCTCCTCCTGCTCCTCCTCCTCCGCCTCCTCCTCCTCCTTCTCCTCCTCCCCTCGCGCAGATCTCTCCTCCTTTCGTCCTCCCCCGCCTCTCGCGCCCGACTCCTGCTCACGTCGGCCCCCTCCGCGAGCCGCCCCCCTGCGCCGCCCCGCTGCCCGTGCCACCGCTCCCCGGGGGCGGCGACGACGACGACGACGACGACACTGACGACGACGACGACGACGACGACGACGACGACGACGACGGCGACGGCGACGGCGACGGACGACGACGACGACGACGACGACGACGACGACGACGACGACGACGGCGACGGCGACGACCACGACGACGACGACGACGACGGCGGCGGCGACGACGACGACGACGACGACGACGACGACGACGGCGACGGCGGCGACGGCGGCGGTCGGTGGTCGGCAGCCTGCGGTGGCTGGCGACTTGCCCTGCCGGGGCCTTTGCCGCGCGACCTGTCCTCGGGGCGATCCAGGAGAGTACGGAAACAGTGGGTTCAACATTAAGCAGCAATTCTTGTTCATTCTAACCAGGGCTCGTTGTTGGCGAGGCCTCGGCCGTTGTCCACTTGAGACGGAAGGCCGCTGCCGGTTTTGGAAAACACCTGTTGTTGGACACCCGTTCCCTGGGGACGACGCCGACTCCGACGACGACGACGGACGACGCCAGACGACGACGACGACGGCGGCGGCGGTTTTCTTCACCCCCCGTGTGGGTCACCCCCCATTACCCTGACCTTCCATGAGGTTGAAACATTACCGCCAGGACGTCGACGCCCTAATTCCTGTCGAGGTTTGAGGCAGACCAGATAGATCAGTAATAGGTCTGAAGTGCTTTTTCCAGCACTCTGGCAGGTCAGGGTACCACCCGCCCGAGCCGCGCGACCTGTCCGCCTGCGACTTCCTTTAAGTCGGGGGTGTCCCTCTTCAGGAGGAGCATTCCCAAAATAGGAAAAAATGTCCGGGGGCGATTCGTCGACCATTTGTTGGCAATCTCGTCCACAACCCCCCTGCAAGGGCACGCCCGACCAAAGTCAGGAGGAACAAAATCACACACAGACACAATCGTATCGTCGATTCCCCCGAAAATGTGAAAACACATGGAATGTAGGGGGGGAAGACAAACACCCGGAGCACACACACACACACACACCCATATATACACAGATTATATATATGTGTGTGTATATATATATATATATATTTGAATGTATGGGGAATCTTGCTATTTGTGTCTATTTATTTGTGTGTCCCAGGGCCCCTTGACTAAGACTCCCTTCGAGCCCTGCCCACTTTGGTTCAGGTCGGCGCCGGGGCCTCGGGCGCCCCTCTCGGGGATGGCCCCTTGCCGCAGGCCGTCCCCCCGAGCTGTGAGCCCCCCAGCTGGCGCTTCGGAATTCCGACCTGCATACGAGGAGGAGGAGGGAGGGGGAGGAGGAGGAGGAGGAGGAGGAGGAGGAGGAGGAGGAGGAGGAGGAGGAGGAGGAGGAGGAGGAGGAGGAGGAGGAGAGAAGGAGGAGGCGGAGGAGGAGGAGGAGGAGGCGGCGGAGGAGAAGAGGAGGGGGTGGGGGAGGGGGAGGAGGAGGAGGGGGAGGAGTAGGAGGAGGAGGAGGAGGAGGAGGAGGAGGAAGGAGGAGGAGGAGGAGGAGGAGGAGGAGGAGGAGGAGAGGGGAGGAGGAGGAGCGGGAGGAGGAGGAGGAGGAGGAGGAGGCGGAGGAGGAGGAGGAGGAGGTGGAGGCGGAGGTGGAGGAGGAGGAAGAGGAGGAGGAGGAGGGGTGGGGGAGGGGGAGGGGGAGGGGAAGGGGGAGGGGAGGAGGAGGGGAGGAGACGGACGAGGAGGAGGGGGAGGAGGAGGAGGAGGAGGAGGAGGAGGAGGAGGAGAGGAGGAGGAGGAGGAGGCGGAGGAGGAGGGGAAGAGGAAGCGGAGAAGGAGGAGGAGGAGGAGGAGGAGGAGAGGAGGAGGAGGAGGAGGAGGAGGAGGGGTGGGGGAGGGGGAGGGCGAGGGGAGGGGGAGGGGGAGGAGGCGGAGGAGGGAGGAGGAGGAGGAGAAGGAGGAGGAGGAGGAGGAGGAGGAGGAATGGGAGGAGGAGGAGGAGGTGGAGGAGGAGGAGGAGGAGGATATGCTAAATTGTTGGGGCGACGCCGACCGATGTGGGTGCAGGGCAGATTCGTGTGCTGATGTGGGGGTGATGCCGATGTGGGGTGACGCCGAGGTGGGGTGACGCCGATGCGGATGCTACAGTACTGTGTGTGCGTCACCCTCCTCGGGGCGGCGCGCGCACCGAGGAATAGTGCATGCGTCGTGGCGGGCGCCGTCTGGCCACACCGCTCGGGAAACACTGTGCTACGAGATGGGTGTACAGGGCAGTGTTTAACACATGGGATTAAACATAGGATTTTTAATCCATGATTAAATTATGAATAAATGTATGCATGAACTCATCGTTGTTTTTAATACTAAATCCCTGCATTTTTAATACATGATCCGCACGCGGAGCATGTATTAAAACGGCATTTTACTGTATGTCAGGGTCCGACGTGCACCTCAAAGGAGAATACATCGTACTGGCGTGTCTCCGTGCGCCCCATGCGTTTTCAATGCGCGCCTTCGATGTTCGCTCTTGGGACCTTCTGGGACCCACCTGGCGGGTCTGTTCGACTCCAGGTCGATTCCAGTTCGACTCCAGTTTTACTCAAGTTTGAATCAAGTTCGGCTCAGGCAGGTTCGACTCAGATTCGACTCAGGTTCGACTCAGGTTCGACTGGAGCCGCCGGACGCTCCCAAGAAAGTCCCTATCGCCCTTTTCTCCAGTCATTGGGGAGCAGCAAAAACACGAGACACAAATAAGCGACGACTCCCGGGAAAATATGTGGAAATCTGGGAAGCAGGAAGGAAGACGAACACCCAGGAAATATTGTGTCTGTTTGTTTGTGTCTATTTATTTGTGTGTCCTTGGGCCCCTTCAGCCAGGGCTATTCGTCCGGAATCCAGTGTTGGTGGCCCTATGAGTCCCGAATGCGGGCGCCGGGGGCTGACTTCGAGAAAAAAACGCCCAGGCTGAAAGCAAGACATCGTGGGATATTTAGAGAGGTATTGATACGGTAGGGTCATGCGGCGATTCAGCGGGCGACGAACGGTAGAACATATACTTTTCCGCCGTCGGGGACGCTGGCACCCCTGGCGGCTGCAAAGTTTGTACCCCTGCGTGGCACCGTCGGGTTATAAACTTTGCAGCCTTCTGGGGGGGCAGGCGCCCCCGACGGCGGAGCAGTTTGTTTCACAACGTTATTCGCCCCTAGCGATGGCGCGCTAGCGACGCTGTCGATGGCGTTCAAGGCTAAGAACTGCGACGTGGAAGCACCAGGGACACGGTGACACCACTTGACCCGACGGAATTCAACCTTGAACGATCGAGGCCGCGATCGATTCAAGGGTTGAACGATCGACGCGGCATCAAAATTTTGGCGTGCGCCGACGCCGCACGAGCCTACAGTGAGAACCCATGTCAAGCGATACCCTGCTTGCCTCCAGGGTGCCCTGGTCTTCTGGGGATTCGATGGTTTTGCTATGGAGAGCGTGACGTTCCCACACCAAACACCAAGTGACGTCCTGGGATCTCAGGGCTGGGTTTCTTGTGGAAGGTGTCTTGTGGTCAAGCTCCTACAGTCAAAACCCTAATAAGGACGTGCGACGTTGCTCAGTGTACCCTTGCGTCCTTGCTCTTCCTTGCTCCTGCGCCTCCGTCCTTCCCTGGTTTCGTCTTGGAGGGTTCGCCGTCCGCCGCCCCAGAGATCCCAAACTTCGGCTTCCAAGGGTCCTGCGTCCTTACCGCGCGTCCTTGTTAGGGTTTTTGACTGTACAGTACCGTACAGTCGGGGCCCCGAAGAAGGAACCCTTTTCGTTGGGGAGGGGCTCGGTGTTCCTTGATCGTTTTACAGTTTGCCTTGGGTTTCCCCCAGGTTTTCGAGAGGTAATCGAGGTCCAACTTATGGAACAAAGGGGCCTCGTTCCTCATTTTTTGGGCTCCTTGGGTCAACGCCCCGACTGTACTGTGCCGTACGTTCGTGGCTCCTGGCCGCCTCCCCCCCCGCCGGGGGCGGGAGGGGACCGCGGCTCCGTCAGCGACGTGGAGCTCGAGGACGCGCGGCGCGCCTCTCGGCGGCCGCCCCCCCTGCCGCCCCCCGCCCTCTTCGCGAGGCCTCCGCCGCCCGCGCAGGGCTCTTTCGGCGCCTGCGCCAGGGGCGGCGCCTGGGCCGCTGGGGAGGGGGAACGGCTCCGGGGTTCTGATTCAGTCGGGCCTGTCCCCCATACAGGGGGATGTTCGACGAAAAATGACAAATACTCCAAAGTAGTCGAACAATAGTCCAGAAATAGTCTAGGGTCTAGGGACTATTTTTCGAGCTGTTCTATACCTCTTTGTGCTTTTCTTGGTGTTTTATATTTTTCGTTGAACATCCCTCTCTAGGGGGAGACACGCCCGACTTAAGGTTATGATGTTCCAATCTACTGTAGCCTTGATCACAAGAAAGAATTTCGAGCGCCAGAAGAGAACCCCACAATCTCGAGGGTTTGCACGTGCCGGGCCCTGGGAGACGCTGTTCCGACTCTGTTTCGACACTCTTTCGACACTCTTTCGGCATTTTTCTGGGTACTCGAAGATATTTCTGGGATGTGGTCCTTATAAGTAGGATGGGAACAACCTCACTCTGGGGGGGGGAGTCTCCTCGGCCCCCCCTCGCCGGTGCTCCGCCGAAATGGAGCCCTACATAGCCCGGGCGCTCGAAATCATTTCTGGGATGTGGTCCTTACAAGTAGGATGGGAACAGCCTCATTCCGGGGGGGATTCTCCTCGGCCCCCCCTCGCCACATGCTTCGCCGACAGGGAGCCCGATATGGCCTCTGGGCCAGCACGAGGGGGTGCGCAGCGCTCCGCGCTGCGCGGGTCGTGGGCGAGGCCGGGGCGAGGCCAGGGCGAGCGGCGAGCGGCGGGCGGCGCGAGCGGCGGACGGCAGCAATCTGGGACCCTCCTCCTCCCTCCTCCTCCCTCCTCCTCCCTCCTCCTCCTCCTCCTCCTCCTCCTCTTCCTCCTCCTCCCCCTCCTCCTCCTCCTCCCTCCTCCTCCCTCCTCCTCGACCTTCCCCTCGGCCCCCGCCTCTTCTGCCCGATCTGCCCTTGCTGGAGCCTGGGGGGGGGAGCCCCATCCCGGTTATTTGCGCGCAGTGTACGCAAAAAGCTGTCAAGATGCAGATGATCAATGCGTTGCTTGTGCTCGCGCCTTGCGGGGCGCAGGGTGCGGAGGTGGCGGCCCTCTGGGAACCCCTCCCGCTGGGGCACATGCAGAGCTGCCATGGAGAGCCTACCGTGAAGTCGGGCCTGTCCATCTTACAGGGGGGAATCTTCAGAAATAGTCAGAACATAGTCTGGGGACTATGTTTTGACCACTTTTTGGAGTATTGTTCGGGGATTTTGGGCGTATGTTTCATATTTCGTCCAAAATCCCCCTGTAGGGGAACAGGCCCGACTTAAGCCTACCGCCCATCGCCGATGGCAGGTCGACGTTTCCCCAGCCTGAAGCCACCCCATACTCCCTGCACTTGGCGTCGCTCGGGCGTGGGCCTCTTTTTTTTGTTGTCCCGGCGGGGACCACCTGAGGAGCACCTCGGTTCGTGTTCGAACAACTTACGCGCACGACGGCTACAACTTATACGGGACGTGGGCGTCCGGGCGACGGCGAGCCTCGCGTTGCCCCTCGCACCTCCGGCGGGGGGGGGGAGACGGGGCGCCGCAGCGCGCCGACCCCCCCGCTCCCGCGAGGAGGTCCCCCCCCCACGATGCCCCGCAGCGGGCCCGAGGCGAGGCATGAGGTCGAGGTCGTCTCGGTGAGGAGGAGGAGGAGGAGGAGGAGGAGGAGGAGGAGGAGGAGGAATAATGGAGGAGGAGGAAGGAGGAGGAGGAGGAGGAGGAGGAGGAGGAGGAGGAGGAGGAGGGACGAGGAGGGGGGGGGAGGAGGAGGAGGAGGAGGATGAGGAGGAGGAGGAGGAGGAGGAGGAGGAGGAGGAGGAGGAGGTGCCCTGCTGTGCTTCGTGTGTGCCGAGTTTTCATGTGCGTCCTGGGGGGCGGTGTACGCCCCCTTGGGTGTTGTTGCACGGCCTGGCCGGCGGGGGGCCTCCTGTTCCCGAAGGGTGCTCTTCTGCTGCCCTGGGCTTTTAAGTCGGGCACGTCCCTTTACAGGAGGAATATTCGGGGGCGGCAAAGAGGGGGGTGATGACTAGGGGGGGTGGATATCATGGCGGGGGCCATGATATCTTCCCAGATCTCATGGCGCCTCTTCTTACTTCATTACGTCCCTGGCCCCCCCGCTGGGCCGCGCACATGCCACCGGTCATGATTTGTACCCCCCCTCTTGGACACCCCCATCTTGGCCGTTCCCGATTGAGAACCTGTTGTGGTCTGCGCGACAGGTTCTTAGAATGCTGCTGGCTGGGGCTGTCTTGTTTTGATACATCGGCTTGTGCGTTCTGAGAGCACGTGTTGTTTCTTAGAATGTTCTGGGGTTCTAGGACACTTTCGTAGTAGGCCTACAGGAATGCCGGGACGGCCGGCCCCTGCTCAACAATAGCTTCGGGTGCAACTCCGGGGAGGTCAGACTCTGACATTGCCCTGGTTCGAAATCCGGCTTCATCCCGCTGGCTCGGGCTTCATCCGGCGGCGTCACGTCCCGCCGAATCCCGCTCCGTCCGCAGCCCCATGCGGCGCAGCAGCCCCGCAATGGGGCCGACTTCTCCCCCACCCTTCCGACGAGTGACCTCCCAGGAGCTACCTCCTAGAAGAGCGGGTGTCCTCGCCACACCCAGCAGGGCCCAGCCATGGCCAGTTTTGTTGATGTTGTTGTTGTGGTTGTGGTTGTGTTTGTGTTTGTGCTTGTTGTTGTTGTTGTGGTTGTTGCTTGTGGTTGATGTTGTTGTTGTTGTGGTTGTGGTTGTGGTTGTGGTTGTGGTTGTGGTTGTTGCTTATTGTTGTTGTTGTTGTTGTTGTTGTTGTTGCTGTTGGTGTTGGTGTTGGTGTTGTTGTTGTTGTTGTTGCTGCTGCTGCTGTTGTTGTTGTTGTTGTTGTTGTTGTTGGTGTTGTTGGTGTTGTTGTTGTTGTTGTTGTTGTTGTTGTTGTTGTTGTTGTTGTTGTTGTTGTTGTTGTTGTTGTTGTTGTTGTTGCTGCTGCTGTTGTTGTTGTTGTTGTTGTTGCTGCCTGCTGTTGTTGTTGTTGTTGAATATGATACTTCTAAAGAATAATTATTGTTGGGCCCCCTGGTGCACGCCCCCTCGCCGCGCCTAGGCCGCAGCCACATTTTCATCATTTTCGTGAGGAAGTCTCAGGCAAAACGGGGGAGACCGGATCCGGTTGTTTTGTTGACGCCCGCTTTCCCTGTCAAAAAACAATATAAAATGACATGTCTTGTTCTAACATAACCAAACTTCAAGAATCCTTTTGCAAAAAATGGCACGAAGTGCGCACTCGCGCGCGCAAGATGAAATCCTTCCAAAACCTTAGTTTTCGTAGCGATTTTAATCTAAAAACATTGAAAACCCAATGATTTTTCAAACAAAAAAGTTTCAAAAATTCATCCCGCGCGCTCTTGCGGATTTCTTAGGAAACCCAATACTTTTTCAACATTTCTGTCAAACGGGCTCTTGCGAGCAACTTTTTCGAACTTCTGCAACAACGGTTGCGCACCTGCCAGGGCCATCATCCCTGTCAAATAATACCATGCGGGACACATTCGTTTTTTCTTCGCGCGCGCACGCCGTCGTCGTCGGCCGCGGGGCCCTGAATAGTAGCCACGGTCGTCCGCATGCCACGAAGTGAAGTGTCCGAACGTCATAGGGCGGGAAGCTGGGTGTGGGTGGTGGCGAAGAGTCGTTTGGAAATTTGGTAGAGCTTGAACCGGCCCCCCCACAAAGTGGGGGTATTGCCCGCCTCCTATGAAAACCCTGGCACTGGTGAGAACGGAGTGTCCCCACGTGCTAGTAATTGTTGTTGTTGTTGTTGTTGTTGTTGTTGTTGTTGTTGTTGTTGTTGTTGTTGTTGTTGTTGATGTTGTTGTATCTTGTAAAACAATGAGTAAAGGGGGGGCTGACTAACCTTTTGACTGAGCCTGCCCAGTCCCGCCCCCCCTCCATCCTCCTCCACCTCCCCCCTCCCCTCTTCCTCCAACCCCCCCTCCACCCTTTCCGACAGCGCGTGCCCAGCGCCCCTGGCGGATCCAAGGGGGGAGGGCGACTATCAGGAAGTGAAAAACACAGACAAACTTCATCGTCGACGCCCAGGAAGATATGGGAAACAATGGGAAGTTGGGGGGAAGACGACGACGGACGATAACGGCGACCACGACGACGATGAAGAGGAGTAGAGGGAAAAGGACGACGGTGAGGGCAAGGACGAGGACTAGGACCTGCCTGGTGGGTACGAAGGACCACAGCAGTTCCCGCCCACTTTAAACAGGACTTTCCGTCTTGTCGTCGCGGACGTTGTCCACTTGGGGCAAAACTCGTTTGCCCAACAGCGGCCGCTGTCGGGTTTGGACGACACTTGCTGCTGTGTATCTTACACATGTTTTCCGTGCCCAATTCGGGGGTGCCGAAAAATCCAGTGCCCTGGACGTCGTCGTCGTCGTCGTCGATGTCGACGCCGTCGGTGTCGTCGACGCCGTCCCCCGGAAGGACCTGCGGGCTGGCTGCGAGGAGATGCGCGCGCGCCTCCAGCGCGAGCGGCACGACCACAGCGTCGAGACGGGGCAGCTGAATGCCAGGCGCTCTTGTGCCCTGTCGTGGTCCTGTTGGGTGTCGTGGTGGTGGTTGTGGTCGTCGCCTTCGTCTTCGCCGTGGTCTTGGTCGTGGTCGCCGTTGCTCGGTGGAACCAGGGACGCTTTCGGCTCAGGACGGTCTCGTCTTCGGACGGTTCCTCAGATCCACAGGTGGGGGAACGTCTTCGCTGCCGAGGCTCGCCGTGGCCAGAAAAAACATCGTCGACGCTTGTTCGGCCCTTCCACTGCTCTGAATTGTTATGAATTGTTCTCTAAATCCGCGGACGGGTGTCCTGGTGGACCTGGATCCCCAGAAAAAGAGCAGGCGGAGAGGGGGGAGGCAGAGAGGCGAGAGTGGGAGCCGAGGGAGGGCGAGGACGGATGAGAAGGGAATGGGTGAGGAGGAGCGAGAAGGAGGAGGAGGAGGCGGAGGAGGAGGAGGAGGAGGAGGAGGAGGAGGACTTGTCGTTCTTTCGTGGGGGGTCTCGCGCCGCCGGCGGGTTCCCCGGGTGATGGGCCTCGTGGCTGCCGCTGGCCTCGGGTAGCCTCCTGTGGCCCTCTCGCGTCCTCCCATGATCCCGGGTGCCACACGCGCCCGCGGATGCTTGGCCTCCACTGGTCTCCCATAGTTTCGGTCGCACCGAGGTATGAGGTCGAGGGCGGTTTGGGGGAGAGCACCGTGGGTTCTTCGTGCTTGTTGGACGTTCTGGTGCATCCTGGGGAGGGTGCCCTTGGCCGTTCTGTTTGCTCTGGCCGGCGGAGGGTCTCATGTTCTTGAAGGATGTTCTTCTGTCTTGGGCCCGACTGCACCCCTTGCATGATGTGGCCTGTCATGTCGTTCTGTGCCGCGCACTTTTGTAGGTGCTTTTGCCTCGTGCGGGGCCTCTCGTGAGGCCAGCTGCGGCCTCTTGCGGCCTCGGGTGCCGCGCTTGGCCATGGGCGGTTGGGCTCCCTTGGCGTTCCATGACTTCCTGTGGCTCGCTGCAGCCTTGGGTGACCCGGACGGCCTTGAGCGGGCGAGAAGAAGCGGAACACGGTCGGAACGAGCAGCTGGAGTTTGCAAGGATTGTCCCATCTGTTTGTCCGGCGTTGGCGCTGCCATGTGGCCTCGAAGGGGTGGGTAGGGGGAGGGGGGAGGGGGGTGGGGGGAGGGAGGAGGGGGAGGGGTAGGGAGGAAGGGAGGGAGGGAGGGAGGAGGGAGGAGGGAGGAGGAGTGAGGGGGAGGAGGTGGAGGAGGAGGAGGAGGAGGAGGTGGAGGAGCAGGAGGAGCAGGAGGAGGAGGCGGAGGAGGAGGAGGAGGAGGAGGAGCTGGGCAGCACGAGCAGATCCTCGCGCGTTCGGTCTGGCATCGCAGCGGTTGCCGCCTGCCGTGCCTCGGGCGACGGAGGAGCCGACGGTGCTGCTGACGCTGCAGCACGTGGAATGGCGGTGTGCGCTGGCGCGAGGCGACCGCCTGCCCGGGCAGCGGCCCTGGCGGCGCGGCGAGCTCGCAGGCTCCGAACTGACGACGAGGGGGCTTTCGGCGTTCCCGCTGATGTTCGGCACCGCGTCGCCTCGGGGCTTGCGACGTCCCGATGCTCGCGCGCTCGTGGCGGACGACACGCTGGGTCGCACCGCCGACGAGCCGAGTGTGCGCATGGGCAGTGCTGATCTCCTCGAGGTCGCAAGCACGCTGTGGGACGCCGTCCTGAGGCCTCAAGCCAGAGCGGAGGCAGGGTGGGGTGGTGGAGCCCACGTCGTGCGTTTGGAAGCGCGGCTCCTCTGGTAGCAGTTGGCGCGGTGTGCGCCCGATGGTCGTGCGGCGTGTGTGGAAACTGTCGCGCGAGCGGGGGATTCGCACGATGCATTTTCAGAGGTGAGGGCCGAGATTGTTGAGGTATTCAAGACTCTGTGCGGGCCTGAGATGAGCGAAGCATTTTGCGGCCGCTGCTGTCCACGATGGAGCTGCAGAGTGAGTAGATGGGTGTGGAGGTTGCTGTCCTGGGCGCTGTTCCCGCCAGATGCAAAGCCGATGTGATGGGTGGAGGCAGCGTTGATGCGCATCGGGGGGCGCTTGGAGGGCCTCTTTTGGGCCTCTTGGGGCCCTCTTGAGGCGCTGTTGGGTCGTCTTGGGCGCCTCGTGGGCCGTCTTAGGGCCATCTTGGGTTGTTGGGGGCCCGCTTGGCGGCCCCCTCGACGGCATGGGACGCTCTCGGGGGCCTCTCGAAGCGGCCTGCGACACTGGTGGGACAACAACAAAAATGATTATGCCAAAGGTGTGCGTCTTCAGAGGAGAGTCGGGCGACTCTTGTCGTTCGAGGCCGTCGAGGAGGTTCTCTTGGAGCCGCCTTGGGGCGTCTTGGGGGCCTCTTGGGGGCCGTGCTGGTGCAGCGCGTGGAAGCCATCTAGAGCGTTCACGGCTTTGCCGAAGGCCCGGGGGGCTGCGGGGAAGCCTCTGAGCAGGCGCTGGAGCCGCGCCGGGGAGGACGCGGAAGTGAGTGCGGTGGCAGCATCATCGGGTAGAGCCAGAAGCCCAGGTAAAGGGACCCGGTTAGTTGTAGGGCCCCAGAGCGCCCAAGCTAGCCAGAATCACGAAACCGGGTCTGCCGTAGCTTGTGTTTTTTCGGGTGACGGCAGTTCCGGTGAGTGGAACGGGACGAGGGGGCGTCCCCAAGTACACATCATCAAACCGGGTCGTCCATTCCCAGCCCCTGACAGGGCAAAACACCATGGCACCTTTGGGATTGCTCATGGCTGCGCCCGCGTGCCGCGCAGCCTCGGCAGCGCCCCGCCTAGCTCTTAACTGGAAGGGGTCCGCTCCCGACCTGCCGACCAAACATGTATGACAGTTTACCAGCTGCGCGCGCGCTCGTGCGATCGTCGCCCACTTGCTGCGCGACGTTGGGGCGGGTGCGGGACAGGGCCGAGCTCAGGTCATCACCTCTCGGTGTCAAGCTAAAGAATGGCATGTCGCTCGCACCTGGGCAAGGCGTCAAGACGTGACTTACCGCGAGGTTAAAGAGCAGCTGCTATTCCATTAGAATAAGGTTTGTGGACAAAGCCATACCCAGTCAAATTGCATTCTATCGCGTCTCAGGAGGGACTCGGCGGGGAGTATGCTGGGCCATGGCCTGTGTATCTAGAGAAGTTAATTTTACGTCAATGGCCATCCGGGCACAACAAACTGGTTGATGTCTTGCTCCCCTTCTCTTTCTCGCGATGCAGCAGGTGTTTCTGTGGCGATCGATCGTCGGCTTCCCATCTTTGTTACCATGTCTATAAAGGCCTACATGTGAAGGCTTGCAGAGGGGCGAGCGTTTCGGACATCTCATCGTGGATGGGAAGATTCTGGCCTCGACTCCTCGATTCCGAACTCGGCGCAAACGCCCAAATTCCGCATGGGGGCAACCTTCCCCGCCCTCGGGGGCAGCGGCGGCCATCTGATGTCAGTTTGGATGCTCGGGGTCGGGCTTTCTGCCCATGGCCTGTCAATCGCACGTTGGACTTTGCTATCGGAAGGTATGGATCGGTTGCTTAGATGAAGGTATCATCCGATCTTGGATGATGCGAGTTATGGGCCAACCTATGATAGGATTGGGGTACGAACCGATCTTGTATGGATTATGTGTGGATGTGTGCTGGACAAACCTACGTCGCGCTAGAACCGCAGCGCGCGGTGAGTGTGTGATTAAAAGCATGTCTAGATATCCACATACAAATCATAATTACATCTACGCTCCCACCCCCCCCAGGTCTTATGGTGTCTAGTTATGTAAAGCTTTCCACACAGATCAGT